GTATCAATGGTTGAATGAGGTGTATTGTATAAAGCGCTTGGACTACTCTAGTAGCAAAGGGTTATTTAAGAACAAGTCTAAATAAATCACCAAATTAAATATTTCACTAATTACGTTTTATTAACTTCCTTCCTTCCTTCCTTCCTTACTTAAGTCCTTACTTTGGTTCTTTGTCACACCACTGCAGTCTGAATGCAGACATTTAAAAGAAACTAACAAAGTCAAAATGGTTAAAGTTAAAAGCAAGTGAAAAACCAGCCATGTTCTGCTTGAAAATAACTGCAGAAAATGTGAGGCCACCTCATTACTTGAGGCCACCTTTGAAAAATGATGACAAAGTCTGGAATATAGGGAATTAAAAAGATAGAAATGATTGAGAGGTGGCTCTAGATTTTTGCACAGTGTTGCAATTTTGAATAACTGTACATCAGTGAATACCCTTACAATCACAAACTGCAAGTGTGTGTTTATGTTACTATTTTTAAAATGCAAGTTTGTCATATTTGTCACTTATCATATCTGTTACTTATGGTTAAATGCTTTTCTTACATTTCAATTCCACAGACCAAAGTTTGCTGACACTTAAGAAGATACAAGACATCTGTTTCCACTACACAATGAGAATTTATTTGGTGCAAGCCTGGCGATACCTAATTAAGGGTAAAACAAAGTTAAACATAGTACTGGTCAAATATAAGATGTGATAACATTTTATAATACATTTGGCAACACACCATAGCTTTACATAATCTGTCATGTGTTTCTGTTCAATTTAGGGTGCAATTATAAGTAATTCCAAATAAATGTTTAATTGATTTGTACCTTTCATTTATTCTAAATTACAGAAAAAAAGTTATATTATGAAAAAGTGTGCTCCCTTCAAAAGCATACACAAACCGAGTTTTGCCTTCTCTTGTTTTACTTAAACAGAATTATTTGGATTATTATTAATTGGAGGTAAAGTTAAGGTACTTTAACTGCTAATAAATAGGGCAGTGAAGGTGATAACTGTCACGGTCCAGTGTCGGTAACAGAGTTGGTTTTTTTAGTTTGGTTTTTGTGTTCCCTCTGTTTACTGTCTGTACCATGTCTCCATACATTTCCGGTTTTATTGTGAAGGTGCGTGTCTCATGTGAGTGTATTCTGTTTCACTTCCTTGTCTAGTCTTCCCCAATCAGTCCCAGCTGTGTTGCCACCTGTTCCTTGTTCCCTCTTGTGACTGCCTGCGTATTTATAGTGTGTATCATCTGCTCATCGCTGGTTTGTCTGTGCATTTCCCTGCGTTTTCCTGTGTGGGTTCCCCGAGTCTCCCTGCAGCTCCTTTTCAAGTCTGTTGTATTTAGTTCTCTCCAGTTTAGGTATCCTCAGGTTCTGTTTCATGCCCACTGCGTGTCTGTTTATTTCACCTCCCCAATAAAACTCCCTTGCATCTGAAAGCTGCCTGCATTTTGGGTCCTTCATTAAATTCCTCTCTGCTTGCCCCACGAGCCGTGACAATAACTTTCTTATTTTTTGCAGACTGGAGACAGCTGGGATCAACTGGCCATTCCAGAAGAATGATTACCAGGCCGCTGAACACTGCCTACCGAAGCCCTATGCAGCGTCTAAGAACTCGTCCACAAACTCTATCCAGTCCAGTGACTTTGTTGGGTTTGATGTGGCTCAGGGGTCGCTTCATTTCTTGGGTCCCTGTCACCAATGCAGATGATGGTACTGCCAATGGACAGTCTTTTTTAGGCTGGTTGATATCATGGTGGGTAACACAAGTTTTCACAATTTTTTTAAAAAGTAAGAAAACTATTGCTGTATTCTTATTTTTTTTAAAAAAACTGTCACCACAGAATTAAACACAATTCTTGTAACTTCTAAAACAAAATTGATTGCCAAAAAACAAGCAATTGTGGGAACATAATTCCAAATAATTACAGTGTAAATATTAACTTTTTCTTTTTAGGTTTTTTGTAACTCCTTCCAAGTACTCAGATATCATCTCCAACAGTGATCTGAAATCTAAAGGACCTCCTGCTGTCTACCAACTGAGACCAAAGAAAGAGAAGTTTGGGAGTCTGACAAGAATTACTGTTGGGGAAAAACAAACAAACAAGCCAAATAAAACCATCTTACTTGTGGGTGAAACGGGAGCAGGAAAATCTACTTTGATCAACACTCTAGTCAACTTCACCATGGGGGTACAGTTTGAGGATGAAATCTGGTTTCAGATTATAGAGGAGGAGAAGAGAAGTCAGACAGAAAGTCAGACATCAGATGTGATCGTGTATGAGATCTTTGGTTTTAAAACTCTGCCCTACTCTCTGTCCTACTCTCTGACCATCATTGATACTCCTGGATATGGAGACACCAAAGGTACTGAAAAGGATGATAGCATCAGTGAAAGACTATTAGACTTGTTTCAATCAGAGGATGGAGTTAACAACATTCATGCAGTGGGTCTGGTGATGAAGGCAAGTGAGAATCGACTGAGTGACCGACAGAGGTACATCTTTGATTCAGTGGTGTCTTTGTTTGGAAAAGATCTGGAGAAAAGCATTGTTGCTCTCATCACATACTCAGATGGAGTAACACCTGAAAATGCTCTCAAAGCTCTCGAAATTGCAGAAATTAAATGTCCAAGAAATGGAAATAATGAGCCTGTTCACTTCCTGTTTAATAACCAACAGAGCAAAGAGAGAACAGAAAAAAAGAAATCTTATTTGAAGACAGCATGGAGAATAACAGAGAGAGGAATGGATGAACTCACAGCTTTTCTAGAAAAAACTGCACCTGAAAAGTTGTTGGTAACAACTGAAGTGTTACGTGAACGCAAAAAACTGAAAGCCTGCATAGAAAACTTGGAAGAGGGAATAAATGACATTGAAGTCAAGCAAACCGAAGCCAGACGGAAACGAGAAGTGTTAGAGAAACATAAAAAAGAGATGCAAAACAATGAAAAATTCTCTGTCGAAGTTCCGGAGTTTTACAAAGACAAAGAAAAGATAAAAACTGGGTGGTGGGGTGGGGTGTTTTATAGTGGTACTGTCTGCTGTACAAACTGTCAGGAGAACTGTCACTTGAATTGCAGAATGGCCTGGTCTCCTGGACAATGTGATGTCATGGAAGGAGGCAACTGCACTTCTTGCACCGGGAAGTGTCCTGCATCAGATCATGTGAAAGCAGAGTGGAAATATGTGCAGAAAGAAAGGAAAGTCTGGCTGACATTAGAAGACATGAAAAAGAAGTATGAAGAAAATAAGTCTGAAAGTCAAAAGCAGATGAGCCTTCTGGAAAACCTTCAAGGGGAAATAAGCCAACTGGCAGCAAAGAAGTCACAGTTACTTGGTGAGTGCTACCAACAACTTGTCACACTGGAGCAGATCGCTCTGAAAGTTGATTCAGCATCCACTTTGGTCCACTTGGACTTCCTGATTAAGAAGATGAAGGAGGAACAAAACACAGAGAAGGTCCAGAAACTGGAGGAAATGAGAAAGAGAGTGGATGATAAGCAGAGCAGGGTCATTGCATATGCGGGGAAAAAACTAGAGAAGTGAAAAAGTGGGGTTAGGGGTAGGAATGGATGACTGAGCCTTTGTCCAGACAGAGACAGGAGAGGCAGAGTCCATCCCCCAAATGGGTTGCCCTTGTCTGACCCCGGAAAAAGTTTTGGGAAAGGTTCTTCCTACTGTGTTCTACTCTGAGGTGCTCATTTTCTTCCGATGAGCCGTGTTTTTGTTTTTTGTTTGTAATTTTTTTTTTTGTGTAGTTTTTTTTTTTTTTTTTTTTGTTCCCTGTTGGTTTTGTTATTCTATGTAATAATAATGGGAATTAAATAAGGTATGTATTTTATAAGTTTCTTTGTTATGATTTCACTTTAATAAAAACTCATAATTGATATAAACTTAGAAGTAGGTTTGCAGGAGACTCTCCACATGCTTATCTGTAAATGTAAGACAACAAGAGGCCAATGGCCCAGTGGATGCAGAGTGGGGGTCTCAGTGTTTGTAATATGTTAACTCTGTTTTGTATGTTGTCTAAAGGAATTTGGTGTGGCTTGGGTGAGGAGATTACTTTTATGACCGGCAGGAAGTCACGCACACAAAGACACACACACAGTGCTTTGACTGTTACACTCACACACCTACATGCACAGTCACTCACGTGCACTCACATAGGCACACACAGGCACTCACCTGCTCGTGCATACACACACAAACAGTTTGCAGCACATCATGGGGGTTTTATGATGGGGTCACTTCTATAAAGCTGACTGTAACAAACAAAGGAGTGGAAGATCTGCAGAGGGTCACCAGCCTTACACGTCTCCCCTTCTAGAAGATGCATGCTTAAATTAAAATGAATAAAGGTTTTGTGAAAATGACTACTGAGTCCGGTGCCGTTTCTGGATGCCTCGAGGAATAAAAAAGAACCGGGGTGAAAGTGATTTTGTAACAGATAGATCCTAAAATAATACATATAGAGAAAAGGGATTAGGGTTGTGAGATAGAATGCAAAAACCCTCCCACCTTGTCTGATGACCTGGTGGTTGGATAGGGGTTTATTGGAGACGCACATGTGTAACTCCACATTACCCTATCTCATCTCACTTGCCCTTCTGTCCCTGGAGGATGACTGTGTAGCCGCCGGGAGACGCCGAGACAGCAAACTCCATCAATCCCCATTGAGTGAAATCCTACATTTACTTTTTTAGATGTGGCGTTTTGAGTGTTCTATGTATTCAATTGTGTGTCCTCATTGTTACTTCAAAAGTGTCTGAGTTCATTTTATACCTTTTAATTTGATTAGGTTTGTGAAAAAGAACGCAACGGGGGGTAGGGTTAGGGGAAAACGAAATGGGTTAGGGTAAGGGGACTGAGCCTGCCACCTCCGTGAGGCAGGAAATGCACGGGCCATCCCTCCCAAAGGAAACCCACCCTGCTGGTTGTCACGATTACGGGAAAGCCTGCTGACGCCATTGGGTCCTCAGACTTTGGTAAATTTTTGCGTTTGTGTTGTGTTTTATGTTTTGTATATTGTTGTAGTTTTTGTGATTTGGGTTTGCCTTTATCTAAGTAATTATAACTCTTATATGAGCTTTTATGAGGCGAGAAATAAATATAGAAAAGAAAAAGAAAAAAGAAAGAAAAATTTAAACAAAAGTTTTATTTAATTAATTATTAAGGTCAAGAAAATGGTGTGCCGTACAACTGCTGACAAAAATGTGGCTGTAATGCACAGTTCTGTGGCTGGTAAGAGATGTTCACTCTTCAACGCTCCAAATCCGAATGAGCTCCTGGCTGACTCCACCTCCCTTTATACCCTTCCGTCTGTGTGTGTTTTTTATGTTTTGTCAATCCATTTCCAGTTCTCCTTTTGTAAAACGTGTATTAACCTTCTGCATGTGAATCCTTTTTACCATTACCCTTAAATATGAACTCTAAACATTTTACAATACACTGTTTTTAATATTTAATCTTTTTAACTGTATTTGTTTCTTGTGAAATGATGTCATGAAATAGCACTGTTTTTAATGTTTTATGTGATTCCACGTTTTTTTAATCTAAACATAATTTTTTATCAAATAAAAATGTTTTAATCAATTTTTATGATGTAAATAATGTCCATGTCCAATTGTAATTAACTGTAAATATTAGGATGAGGGTTTTGTATTATGGCCCCCAGGTTAAGATTAGAATTAGGATGGGGGAGGGGTTAGGGGAAATCAAATTTGGGAGTCAGGGTTAGGGTAGGGGAATTGATTCCTCCTACAAGGGTCCCACGGGAGAACCCCAGATCCCTGTTTGGGTTGTCAAGGAAGAGGCGCCGCCTTCCGTAGCAGATTTCTTGCCACTTGTCATTGATGACGGGTGGTTTTTAATTATTTGTTTTAAATTTACAAATGTTTTTTAACTTAAATGAAATGTAAAAAAATTGAAAAAAGTAATGAATTGTTCTGTTCAACTGAAAGTGAAACCCAAAAGGGGCTTAAACAACTAAAAGAGAGACAAAGGCTTAAAAATCCCTTAAAATAAAAAGTCTATTCGGCTCTTTCTTTGAAATGTCTCTTAAAAAATAAATAAACTAACTAAATAAGGCTTGGTTTTAAACAGAAAGGAAACACCCAAAAGGGGCTTAAACAACTAAAAGAAAGCACAGAGGCTTAAAAATCCCTAAAAACAAAAAAAAAAGTGTTTTCCAGTTCAAAAAAAGTTCAAACGTGCCTCAGGCAGCGTTTTGACCTTAAGAGGTCTTCCTCAGGCCTGTGAGGCACGAAAGAAAAGAAAAGAAAAGAAAAGCGCTCAAAACAATGGCTGGCTGCTGGAGATGTGCACTGTTCAGCTGTCGAAAACAGAATGAGTAGTGATGTGCGGATCAATCCTGAAATATCGATTCCTCCGATACCAATCATTTATGTTCTAGAATCGATTCTCACATTAAAATATCGATATTTTAGTAATTTAGAGTAAATATGTAGTTTATCATTAACAGGAATACAGTGGAAAGAAACTATAACATTCAGACTGTCTACATTCAAAGGAACTACTTCCTCTTCCGCCTTTCATAGTCATGTGCGAAATACGGCTGTATAAATGTCTCGCAGCCCCTTGGCGTGAGCACTCACAACAATGGCTGAGCGTCATGTGCGGACTTATTTTACCTCCACAAACAGCTGAGACGTGGTTTGCGATACATGTGGCAAAAAAGTGCTCCAAGAGTGAGGTGTTGTGGCCATACTAGGGAGACATTCAAAAGGGCTGTTTGGGGGGGCGGGTAAAATACATTGTTCAGGGTTTATTTATCTGATAAAATACGTTAACAGCGGCCTCCCATGGATGAATATGATAGAGCCTGCCTGAAACTAGGAGAAAAATTGAAACGGGTGTGGCATCCTCAGAGGGTGTATGGGGCGCGGGAGCCAACCCGATGCGCAGCCTGTGAAAAGCGACCCAGGGGTACTCTGAGACCCCCGGAGTCCAGAGCTGCCCCGAAGGGGAGCACGAGGGTTAAATGATTTAATCTCTTGCATGTGAGTCTTTGTCTCTGTGTTCAGTGGTTCCCCTTTTGTTTCCTGTTTTATTCTGATAGTGCTTTGCTTATCGTTTTAATGCAAAAACAGATTCGTTTCAGCATGTGTGCATGTGTGTATAAATAATCTCCATCCGTTCATGGAAATTGCATTTTTCATGTTGCGAAGCTTCACCACATGAACATTTAGAGGAAATACACAAATACATAAAATACATGACTACAAAATACCAAAGTGTAGGTTTGTGTGGCTACAAGAAAAATTAGGTTCCCTTATTTGTTGACTATAACAGGTATAACAGCTCATCACACAGCCAACAGTAAGAGGTACAGACACATTCGACATACAGGAAACATGACACAGAGTGTAAAACAAAATATCACAAATGCTAATCGTAGTTTTTAATTTTGTTTTGCGGTAATGTCATTCTTTGATCTCACTTAAAGATGGAGGTTAAAAGGGGTCGGCTCTCACCTCCAGGATGAGGTGATAACAAAACCACCAAATGAGTGGATCTTTAATTACATCTATCTGAAAACATATCTGCGTACTTGTGGTCATTGCATGACTTAGATAACCACAGATCTGAATTTACTGGTTCCTAGTTATAGCCAATTCAGTAAGTTGAGTCAGACTCTTAAAGATTAGTAGTTAATTAAAGGTAGTCATTAAAAGTAACAAATGATCTTTATGCCACGGACAAGGGAGACATTAATAAAGCTCTCAGAGCCCTACCTTACAATGCTTATTATCCATACTGGACTTTGGAGGCCTTTTTAAAAAAAAATAAAAATTTGTCTCTGTCTTGATTATTAAATTTTCCACTTTCTTTAAGTTGTTTAGAATGGACTGAAATTTACAAAGCTTGTCTCAGTAACCACTCAAAGTCCTTTACACTACAAGCCAAATCCAACTTTCTTTCAATTTAGAAATACCAATTAATCAAAATTACAGAACAAATCCCATGTAGCCACAAAGAAAAAAACACAAAAGCCACATAGAGACACCAGGAAAGTGAGGTGACAGTGCTCACCACTACACCACCATGACACTTTGGTTATATCCATGTGAATTTGTTTTATTTCAACATAAACACATTATGTTCTAAAATGAGCAATTAATTATTTATTAATTAATAATTGATGTTTTTTTTCCTATAAGTAACTGGTGGTTGTTTGATGACCACTCAGCTCTGACTGAAGCGTCCTGTTGATTTACCATCACATTAATGTTCTTACTTTCTGTGGACAACTCGTCATACACAGACTTCAGAATTAGTTACGTTAGTTAGTTAAGAATATTACGGTACTGGGCCATGAGGCCCAGGGTTTAAGTTCTAATGCATATTTTTGAATCCACATGTGTAGTTTAACGCATCTAGTTGTTTTCTAGTTTGCAGTTTAGTCCTTGGTTTCTTAGTCCCTTTTGTCATCTCTCCTTGGTCCGTGTGTCTACCTGTCAGGTTTCATGTCTCTGGTTAGGTTAAGTTCATGTTCTATCTCCATGTCTATGTCTCTGTGTTTCCTG